TGCCCAAGATCCCGAGAGGAGAATGGAGGAGAAGGGATTGCGGCGTGGCCATCCCCCCAGGGGGTGATTTCTCGCTTTCTATCTCTCTGTCTGTCTCTGTCTGTCCTGCGAGCGCACACGCCCTATAGCAAAAACCTCTCCAAAAAAAAAAGAAAAGAAAAAGTACTTGAATCTGGGCTTCGGTCTTAGTGAAGGATGATCTGTTTCTAGTTGACCCTTATTTCTAGGGTGCCAAAGATCCTAACTAGAAGCTGGATTGTTTTCCAAGACCCGTCCTCCTTGTCAAGCCTGAAGCCCGGTTTTGTCTCTCTTACCCTGTGAGACTGAGAAAACCTCCACTGGGTTCCTCAGCCTCCGAGCCGCCACTCTCTGTTCAGCTTGTGTGGTTGGCTTCCTCACATCCAGGCCACGGCTTTGTCGGCTTTGTCGTTACGTCGGCCTCGAGAGAAAAAGCCCCAGCCCGCCCTACCTCTGCCGCTCTTCTCCCTTGAGTCTTCCAGCCCTTGCTGCCTTGATGGCTCTCCATTGCCTTCAGAGACTTTCCTTCAGACACGTATTTTACTTATTGTGACTTTTCTCATTCTCAGAGAAGCTGGTCTGATACAAGCCCCTCCACCATCACTGGAACTGGAAATCTCAAAAAGATATTTTGTCTAGGTTTTCTTAGTCCTTCTCAGGGCAAGAGTTGTTCTTTTTTCTTTTTAAAGAATTCTTTTTTTATTTAACTTTATTTATTATTATTATTTTCCAATTTGATCAGAGAGAGAGAGAGAGGGAAAGCAAAAAACACAAGCCACCAGGTCCAGGACCCGAACCACGGTCGGCCATTTGGGAGTCTGGTGTCTCTAACTACCATGCCACCTGCCAGCCACAAGAGTTGTTCTTTTTCCTTATTTTTTTAAAATAATTATTTATTTAATTTTATTTATTCATTCATTTATTTTAATTTGACAGAGAGAGATACAGAGAGAGAGGGAAAGTGAGAAAGCAAGCCACCAGGTCTGGTATTCAAACTGTGGTTGGCCATGTGGGAGTGTTCAGTGCCTTAACCACCACGCCACCTGCTGGTCCCCTGTTTTGTTTGTTTGCTTGTTTGGAGTTTGAAGAATTGTTTTATTTAACTTTTTATCTGTTTATTTATTTATTTTAAATTTGACTAGAGAGGGACAGAGAGAGAGAGGGGGAAAGTGAGAAAACAAGCCACCAGGTCTGGGACTTGAACCGTGGTAGGTCATGTGGGAGCCCAGCACCCTTAATCACCGTGCCATCTACCAGCCTCAAAAGTTGTTCTTAAACACCCAGTCCACTGCTGCTGGGATCACTCATGCATTCAAGTTCATTGTTTTATTAGAGACAAGGCCTCGCTGTGTTGCCCAGGCTGGCCTCGAATTCGAGATCCTGCTGCCTCAGCCTCCCAGGTTGCCGGGTTGTGCCACCAGGCCCAGCTCCTGCATTTTTAACCTGAAATATTTCGATGTCTTATCATTAATGCTTTGACATCAGGCTGACTTTTTTCTCCAAGTAGGCTTCACGGAGGGAAGAGTTCATCTGATCACATATAAACCTTACTCAAATGTGTTCTTATTTTTGTTTGTTTTTAAGGTGTTTTGTTTTTTTTTTTTTGGAGAGATTTTTGCTATAGGGCAGGTGCGCTCGCCAGACAGACAGAGAGAGACATAGAGACAGGAAGCGAGAAATCATCCCCCAGAGGAGATGGTCACAACGCAATCCCTTCTCCTCAATTCTCCTCTTGGGATCTTGGGCACGCACACACACGCGCCCAGCGTGAGTTTTAAGCCACCAGGTCCGGGACGCGAACCGCGGTCGACTACGTGGGAGTCCAGCGACATAGCCATTACGCTAACTGCTGGTTCCCTGTTTTTAAGGTTTTTGCCATAGGGCAAGTGTGCTTGCCAGGGAGAAACAGAGAGAGGGAAAGTAAGAAATTACCTGGGCATGGGGGAATGGCCATGCTGCAATCCCTTCTCTATCCTACTAGGATTTTGGGCACGCATACATGTGGCCCTGGTGTGATTTTCAAGCTTCAGGGTCCGGGATTCAAACTCCATTACCACATGGGAATCCAGTGCCTCAACCACCACGCCACCTGCTGGCCCCTCAAATGATTCTTTATAGGGTTTAGTTTCCATCTTTCTAATGTGGAGACATAATTTGAAGATAGTTGTGAAGCTATCTGATTGCAGATTCTTTTTAAACTTTTATTATTCCTCACTCTAATCCTTTTTGCTTTGTTTTGCTATAGGGCATGTGTGCTCGCCAGAGAGAGGGAGAGAAAGTGAGAGAGTGCCCTCTGAGGTGGGTGGCCATGCCACTGTCCTTTCTCCTCCATTCTGCTTTCTGCATTTTGGGCACACACCAGTGTGTTTTTCAGGCTGCTGGGTCTGAGACTCAAACCACGGAGCTGTCCACATGGGATCCAATGTCTTAACCACCACGCATCTCCTGGCTCCCACCCTAATTTTTTGTTTGTTTGTTTTTGAGAGAGATTTTTGCTAAAGGTCGCATGCATGAGACAGATAGAAAGCGAGACCTCACCCCCTTGGGGGAAGGCCACACCACAATATTTTCTCCTCCATTCTCCTCACAGGATTTTGGGCACGCATGCACACGTACCCGACATGATTTTTTTTTTTTTTTTTGAGAGTTTTTTGCTATAGGGCACGTGTGCTCACCAGACAGAGAGATAGAAAGCGAGAAATCACCCCCTGGGGGGATGGCCACGCTGCAATCCCTTCTCCTCCATTCTCCTCTTGGGATCTTGGGCATGCACGCACATGCGCCCGGCGTGAGTTTAAGCCACTGGGTCCGGGATGTGAACCGTGGTCGACTACGTGGGAGTCCAGCGACATAGCCATTACGCTAACCGCTGGTCCCCCGATGTGATTTTTAAGCCACCGGGTCTGGGACTCAAAATGCTGTCGGCTACGTCGGAGTCCAGCAATGTAACCATTATGCCATCTGCTGGTCCCCTACTCTAATTTTTTATATCACTCATGTTTGTCAACTATGATTTTTGGCGACTCATTTTTATGTAGTTTTTCCAAAGCATTCAACATGGCTTCCACAGAAATAACAGTGACCTGGAACCAGCAGATGGCATAATGTCTACGTCGCTGGACTCCCATGTAGGTGGCCGTGGTTTGAGTCCCAGATCTGGTGGCTTAAACTCACGCTGGGTGCGTGTGCATATGTGCCTAAGATCCGGAGAGGAAAACAGAGGAGAAGGGATTGCAGTGTGGCTATCCTCCCAGGGGGTGATTTCTCACTTTCTGTCTCTCTGCTTTCTGGCGTGTGCATGAACCCTATAGCAAAAACCTCTCCAAAAAAAAAATAGAAGTAACAGTGGCCTTTCTTTTTGCATGTATTTCTTCAGTTTACATGTTTAATTAAAAGACGTGATTACAGCACAGCTAGCATAAACAGGTTTGAAAACAAATACAAATAGGCAAGTGGCGTGGTGGGGTTAAAGGCACTAGATTCCCACATGGCTGACTGTGGTTCGAGTCCCAGATCTGGTGGCTTACTTTCTCGTTTCCCCTTTCTTCTTTTCTCTGGCTCTCTCTGGTCAAATTAAAAAATACTAATAACAAATGGAATTAAATAACTAAATATATTTTAAAAATACAAATAATCCTTGGTTTGGTAAGCACAGAACTCAGTTGGGGGGAACAAAGTATTATCTTATTAGCAGCAAGAGCTGGGCAGCCCATGGGTCTTGGGGAGAGTGGAGCAGGCGGTCAGTATGCCCAGTTAGTGACATGGCGTTGTGTAGGAGACCCGGGGCAGCCCCATGAGGCTGGGTAGCAGCAGCACAGGGAAGAGTTGAAAAGGGAGCTTTCGGAGATGTCACGCTCGCAGGACAGTGCCTGGTGGATAATAAGCACTTCACGTTGAGATGTTATAGGATCGTGATTTTTTTTTTTAATCAGTATGTGGGATGTCTGGAAATACAGGAAGGAACACAGATCTGGCTCCTGCCCTCCTAACCCAGCCACTGCTCTCCTAAAGAGAGCACTGTGGGAATAACACACACGGGGTCCATTCACACACCCTGGGAATACTTCTTGGCAATTAAATGGGATGCACCGTTGCCATAACAACGAGGCTCCTCGGAGGCATTGTGCTGAGTGAAATGAAAGAAGGCAGGCTCAGAAGGTGGCAAAGGGTGTGATTCATTTGTTTGTTTTATGTTTGTTGTTTTGCTATTGCCAGAGAGGGAGAGAGACAAAGAAAGTGAGAAGTCACCTCCTGGGGAAGATGTCTGTGCTGCAATCCCTTCTCCTCCATTCTCCTCTCAGGAATTTGGGCATGTGCTTACACACACACACGTGATCTTGCTTACACACACACACACCCACACACACACACACACACACACACACCTGTGCCCAGCATGTTCCTCAAGCCACTGGGTCCGGGAATAGAACCCTGCAGTCGGCCGTGTGGAATCCAGTTGCCTTAACCACCATGTATATGACATTCTATAGAGGCAAAACTAGATTGATGGGGAACAGATCAGTGGTCGCCAGGAGTTGGAGGTGAGGGGAGAGTGTGATTATGATGGCATCCTAATGTGGATGGTGTTTATTCAAACCCAAACACATATTAAAACTCATAGCACTGTGCACCGAAACCAGTCAAATTTACTGCATGTCAGTTTGACCACTAAAAGGAAAAATAAAGCCTTAAAAAACAGGGAGATCCAGGGACCAGTAGGGGGCGTGGTGGTTAAGGTGCTGGACACTCACACATGGCTGACCACGGTTCCAGTCCCAGACCTGATGGCTTGCTTTCTCACTCCCCGCCCCCCTCGCCCTCTCTGTCTCTCTCTGGTCAAGTAAAAATAAATAAGTGAATGAATAAATAAAAATGAAACAAATCTTTAAAAAAGAAAAGAAGAGCGAGCTCTGTGGACCACATCCCAGTGTCTTGGGGTCCCCGCACATGGATCACTCACTGGTGTTTTCCTTCCTGGTTAGATTGGAGCTGGAGGGAGCATCACTGGGATGAAGTTTAACCCTCTTAATACCGACCAGTTTTTCACCTCCTCCATGGAGGGAATGACTCGGCTGCAAGACTTTAAAGGCAACGTTCTCCGTGTTTTCACCACCTCAGACAACTGCAAGTGAGTAGTTCACTGCGAGGAGATGGGCGTCAAAGTTCTGGGTGTAGTTCTGGTGAGAGCCTTCGGACCCCATTTCTCTCACCCTAATCTGGCGTTCTGAGGAAAGGCCAGGTGTAGCCACTTTCATCTTCCCCCGCCTTTTGCAAACTCTCTTCTGGTCCAGGTGGGTCACTGCTGCGGGAAGGGGATCTGGAGCCCAGCTCTTCTCCAGTCAGGCCTTATCAGTGTAGGCCTTGATCTCACCAGACAGTCAACGTGTTGGCTACAAAGCCAGGGGGAGCAGAGGAGGAACGGAACTTAGGGCCGACTTCCCTCCCTCTCCGAGGGTGTGATGACCTGACCGGTTCCTTGGTGGGAGCTGAGTGGGCAGAATCACATTCCTAAAGTGCTCTGGACTTGTCAAGACCAAACGGCTGGAGAAACTACCAAGTGCCTGTCATTGTGATGTCGGGCCAGACATGACTCCATGGCTCCCTCCGGAATCAGGGGCAGGGTGGGGGCTCGCAGGACTGGGTGTCCCTGCAGCTGGGACCTGCGCTGGCCCCACAGGGTGAGCGATGCACGAGCAGGTGGCTGCACAGACTCGGCTCCAGGTTGCTCTTCTCCGAGAAACTGCAGCTTGAAGACAGTCAGCGGGGATGGCCATAGGCAGCATAGCACGGATTTGAGGGTTTGAGAGGGAAAGGGTGAATTTGAGCTCCCTGGCTGGATATCCAGATCCTGCAGCACCCTCTACCCAGTCCCCTCATCCTCAAGTAGGGGCCAGTGGGTTGTGGTGCTTTTTCCCCTAAATGCTCAGAAGGGGGCAGAAGTTCCTTTCTAAGCAGTCCTGAGGAACAGAGTTGGCCATTCTTGTTTGGTTTTTCATTTCCTTCGGCCCAGAGGGTGGAGAGAATAGCAGACGGGGTTCCTTAGGACCTGGGGCTGTGGGGCCGAGCTAGCCTGGACTTGCCGTTGATCTCTGAGGTTTGGTGGCTTCAGGGACGCTTACTTCCTGGGGCTCCTGGATGCATCACCCCCTTCTGTCTATCCAGACAGCCCGCGTGTTCTTCCCTGGGAAATCCATGGCCAGGCAGATATTCACTCAGCAAATACTTGCCGAGTACCTGCTGTGGGGCGATGCTGGTGCCGCAGCAGTGAGCGGACACCTCTGTCTCCAAGACTGTCACAGCCCAGTCTTTCTCTGCAGCGTCTGGTTTTGCAGCCTGGATGTGTCTGCCAAAAGCCGAATGGTGGTCACGGGAGACAACGTGGGAAATGTGGTCCTGCTGAACATGGACGGCAAGGAGGTGCGAGCTCTCTAGTCGGGTCGTCCCTTCCCTCTCTTATCCCTGCCTCGGTTCTGTGTCCCCACCTGAACCGAGCTCTTCTCTGCAGCTTTGGAATCTCAGAATGCACAAAAAGAAAACATGGACGGCAAGGAGGTGCGAGCTCTCTAGTCGGGTCGTCCCTTCCCTCTCTTATCCCTGCCTCGGTTCTGTGTCCCCACCTGAACCGAGCTCTTCTCTGCAGCTTTGGAATCTCAGAATGCACAAAAAGAAAGTCACGCATGTGGCCCTGAACCCATGCTGTGATTGGCTCCTGGCCACGGCCTCCGTAGATCAAACAGTGAAACTCTGGGACCTGCGCCAGGTTAGAGGGAAAGCCAGCTTCCTGTCCTCGCTGCCGCACAGGCATCCTGTCAACGCAGGTGTGATATTCCAGACCTCATCTCTCCTGCAGACCCTGCCTGTCTGACTGCTCCTGGGGCTTCCCTCAAAGTCTGGAAGCTGCTAGGTCAAACCTTCATCCCGGTAGCATCCGCCGAGCTCATGCCTTGGAACATTTCTGTCTCCAGCTGCCCCACCAGTCGCTGAGTTTCTAGAATATTTTTATCCACAGCCTAGATTCGCCTCCTCCCTTCTGCTCCTGTCTAGAGAGGAGTGGGAGGGAGGGTGCCTCTGCAAGAGAAGGTCCGCGAGGCCCGCAGGGCTGTGGCTCCTCCGCTCATGGGCTTTTTCCTTCCCCAGCTTCTTTCAGTCCTGATGGAGCCCGGCTCCTGACCACAGACCAGAAGAATGAGATCCGGGTTTACTCTGCCTCCCAGTGGGAGTGCCCCCTGGGCCTGATCCCGCACCCTCACCGGCACTTCCAGCACCTCACACCCATCAAGGTGAGTGAGGGAAAGAAGGAAACGCACCGGCCCGTCCAGGTTTTCATTTGTCTTTCTGAACAGTGATGAAATACTTTCCTGAACTTTTTTCAGGCCCACTCTGGTCCACTGTAGGCATCTTCTAAGCTCCCGATCCTCTTTGGTCCTGTCCCAGTACCCGTCAGTGCCCTCCATCCACAGACCAGCCTTGGCCTTCTTTGTCTTGCAGGCTCAGATGCCTTCTAATAATAGAATTCGTTTTTTCCCACTTTTCCTCAGGTTCTTATTCACGGCTTCTCTCTCCTTGGTCCCCAAGACTTAACATCTTTCATCTCCTTCTTAACCAAGCCTCCTTGCAGCCTGAATGGTCATTTCTGTGCTAGGAGTTTATTTGTATTTATTTTTATTAATGTGCTGTCGGGCGCATGTGCTGCTAGAGAGAGAACTCTCCCACGCCCCCTTCCCCAGGAGGAATGGCCACACCAGTCTTCTCCATTCTCCTCTCAAAATTTTAGGCACACATGTACATGAGCCCAGTGTTTCTGAAACCGCCAGGTCCAGGATTCAAACCTTGCAGTTGGCCCTATGGGATCCAGCAGCTTTGGGGTTTTTTTTAGGGATTATTTAATTTTATTTATTATTTTAAAATTTCGTTATAGGGCACATGTGCTTACCAGAGAATAACAGAGAGAGAGAGAAAGTGAGAAAGCAAGCTGCCAGGCTGGGGACTTGAACAGTGGTCAGCCAGGTGAGAGTCCAGTGCCTTAACCACCACATCACCTGCTGGCCCCGGGATCCAGCAGCTTTAACCACCATGCCACTTGGCTGGCCCTAGGGGTTTATATTCTTTCCCACAGCCCGTGTTCGTATCTTCACATGTCACGCTTGTCCTTCTTTGGTGGGTATAGCAGTCGTGGGAGCATCAGCTTCAGGCAGGCAGACACACCTGGCTTAGAAAGCCGGGGGGGGGGGGGGGGATTACTAACAAGGGGGGGGGGGGGCGGGGATTACTAACATGTTGGACCTGTTTCCTCACCTGCAAAAAGCTAATATCTGATGGATAGGGTTGTGAGAATGAATCACTCGCTCCATGGTGCTAGACGCCGTGCCTAGCACTGGGTAAGTACTCAGTCAATGAGTTCGCGCCTGAGCAGCCCGTGTGCCTCGTCACGTTCATGCTCTGATAAACAGCACCGATTCCTCCCCCCCGTTGGCGTTCCCGTTCGTCCATCTGTCCTCGCCTCCCACGTCTAGCCAGGACAGCTTCCTGTGGCGTCTGTGACTTTGCATGTACTGTTTCTTCTTTCTTGCTAACCATCTTCCTTCCTTCCAAACTTCCTTGAGAAGTTTTGTCAGGAAAACCCCATCCAAGCCTGTCATCCGATCTATTCTGCGTGGGGTAATCTGGGAAACAGGGTTCTCCCCCATACAGGGACAGTTACGGGGTTACTTAGGAACTGAGGCCCTATCTGGTTTTGGTTCTGCCCTGTGGGAGGCGACCTCTTAGGCTAGTGTTTGGGTCGAGCTGATGTTGAAACACCAGCTGGTATGATCTCAGAAATGCAAAAGAAAGGCAGCCAAAGGTGTCCGAAGGGCCAAGGAGGTCAACTGGGGATTAAACATTTGCAGTGGTGGAGCTAGCAGGTAGCATTGTGATTAAGGTGCTGGATTCCCACTCGGCCAACTGCAGTTTGAGTCCTGGACCCGTTGGCTTGAAAATCACGCAGGGCACATGTATGTTTGTGCCCAAAATCCTATGAGGAGAATGAAGTGGCATGGCAGGGGGGCTGGGGGTTGGGGGTGATTTCTTACTCTATCTCTGGCAACTGCACGTACTATGGAAAAAACCTAAAAATAAAAATAAAAATTGCAATGGTGGATGCACATAGATTCATGTAGGTCTTATCTTCATTATTAAGTTGTTGGCTCATTAGTGGCAAAGAATACTTTAAGAATTATTTAACTTTGGGACCAGCAGGTGGCATAATAGTTATGTTGCTGGACTCCCACATAGTCAACCATGGTTCAAATCCAGACTCAGCAGCTTGAAACTCACACCAGGGGGCTGGCAGGTGGCGTGGTGGATAAAGGAGCTGGACTCTCACATGGTTGACCCTGGTTCGAGTCCCAGACCTAGCAGCTTGCTTTCTTACTTTCCCTTTCTCTCTCTGGTCAAATTAAAATATAGTAATGACAAATGGAATTAAATACATAATTCTTTTTTTTTTTTTTTTGAGAGGTTTTTGCTATAGAGCGCATGTGCTCACCAGACAAACAGAGAGAGACAGAGAGACAGAAAGCGAGAAATCACCTCCCAGGATGGATGGCCACACCGCAATCCCTTCTCCATTCTCCTCCGGGATCTTGGACACGCACACAAACCCGGCATGAGTTTTAAGCCACTGGGTCAGGGACGCTAACTGTGGTCGACTACATGGGAGTCCAGCAGCATAGCCATTAAGCTAACTGCTGGTCTCAGGAATTAAATAATTCTTTAAAAAAAAATTAAAACTCACGCCAGGTTTGTGTGCATCTATGCCCAACATTGCAATGGCGTGCCCATCCCCATGGGGGGGAGGGGTTGGCAATTTCTCGCTTTCTGTCTCTCTGTCAAGCACATGCACCCTATAGTAAAAATCTCTCCAAAAATTACTATTTAATCTTATTTATTACTTTTAATTTGACCAGAGAGACAGAGAGGGAAAGAAAGTCACCAGGCCTGGGACTTGAACCATGGTCACCCAAGTGGGAGTTCAGCACCTTAACCACCATGCCACCTGCTGGCCCCATCAAAGGATGCTTTTGATGTCCCTCTTGAAAAGTGTTCTAGGTGAGCCCTCGTGACCAGCCTCTCATCTCCTAGGCAGCCTGGCATCCTCGGTACAACCTCATTGTCGTGGGCCGATACCCAGATCCTAATTTCAAAAGTTGTAACCCCTACGAATTAAGGACGATTGATGTGTTTGATGGCAGCTCCGGAAAGATGATGTGCCAGCTCTATGACCCAGAATCTTCTGGGATCATCTCGGTGAGGCCCGGGCCCTCTAACAACGGGAGGAAGCAGGGATTCAGCCTACCTGTCGACCATCAGTCAGTCCTCACGTGCCCTCCTCTGCCTCCGTTAATACCGTCACCCCTCATGATGGCCCTCTTGTCTCTGCAGCTCAATGAGTTCAATCCCATGGGGGACACCCTGGCCTCGGCAATGGGTGAGTAGAAGCAGGACGTATCTCCCACACCCCAAGCCTGGTGCCTCTCCCCAAGACCGAGTGCAGGCTAACGTCAGCCCTGCCACATGGCCTAGGGCCACAACCAGGAAAGGTGACTGGGAGGCGGTGGTTTCTCTGGCCTAGGCCCTCCATCGCCCTTGCTGTCTCGGCCATGGCAGTGCCTGTGGTTTCCTAGTACTCCCCTCCCCGCTCCTAGGTTTCCTGCGCCAGCCCCAAGCTCTGAGGCTGATAATGGACAGTGCAAGTCAGACTGGTCTTATCCCTCTAGGTTATCACATCCTCATTTGGAGCCGGGAGGAAGCTGGGACACAGAAGTGACAGACATTCAAGAAGGTGTGGGCCAAGCAAGGGCTTGAAGAGGTGGCTGTTAAAGGGCCAAAGGATTCACATCTTAGGGCCGCAGCAGGGCACCGTGGCATGGGACACGGGGACTGGGACATGGGCAGTTATCGTTCCACAGTTGGCGATGCGGCTGCCCCAAGGGTCCCTGCTCTGTCTAACCTGGAGCCAGGCTACTTCTCTGACACGTGGTGGCAGGGACCCAGTTGGGATGGTTGACTTGTGCTCACTGTTGACATGGCCAATAAAACCATACTGCACTGAGCTGCTGAGTGGATGGTCCAGCAGGTCCTGGTGGGAAGGCTCCTGGGGTCTCAGTGAAGAAAAGGCACAGTGACAGCACCAACAGTCCAAAACCTTCATTCTCTGAGAGCTGCCTCTGCCCCGGTCTGGGCCACGGTCAAGAGCTGTCCGGCTCACGGCCTGCATTTACCTCAGGTCCCTGAGGCCCAGCTGGGAAGAAGGCAGTTCCACGATCCTGTATGACAGCCCATTCCCGCCCTCTCCCGCCATTCCCTCCCAACTACAAAGACTCTTCCGACCTACCAAAGCTAACGGGGTGACAGAGGTGCCTAACGCATGCTGTCTCTAATGGTGTCTTCAGCCAGAAGAGGACTTGGCTGGCTGGCTGCTGAGTGATTCGGTTCCTTGGTGGTCAAGGTTTCTACCCCAGTGTTGGGCAATGTTTCCTCTAGAGCAAGCACTGACAGGTAAGACTGTGTCCTCTGAGCCATTTGCCAAAGACCCCGGGCTGGGAGAGAAAGAGCAGGGGCTTGATGGCAGCCAGGCGGGTCAGGCACCGACGCCTCAGGGTTCCCATCCCAGGTCCTGTCTCCATCTCAGGTCCTTACGGAGTATAAAAGAGCCCATTCTGCTGGGAGGAAGCCAGAGTCCAGCACAGTACATGGTAAACGTCAGGCATATGAATGCTGAGTGACAGGTGTCGTGGGCCGGGCCGAGCCCCACTCGCTCATCTGGGCTGTGGTGAGCAGGGCAGGCGACTCGGAGTCTCTGGTCCAAGGGCTGAGGAGCAGCCATGGTCAGGAGCAAGGGCCCAGCCCTCCTCCCCTAGGAGGCAGAGGGAAGGGGGCCAGCTGGGTGTCAGGCATGGTCCTCCCCATCTGCGACGTGGCGGTAGCCAGGAGGCTGGGCCTGCATCCGGAAGAGAACGGTGAGGAGCAGCACTATGAGGAGGAAGAGGATGGAGCCGCAGACAGCCAAGGCCACGATCACCTCTGTGCAGGAGGGACAAAAGACAACGTCAGTGTTGCTCGACAAGCACCTCAGCACCTCCCCGGGGCCAGGTCCTGTCTGACACGCGGGGTACACAGGCGGCCAGGACAGGAGATCCCATACATAAGCAAATGAGGACAGGTTAGCGCCTAACGCTATGAAGAAAAAAGCACCATTGATCCGTCAGGTAGGGCGTCACTGAGGAAGTGGGAATTTGAACAGAGACCGGGAGCCAGTGAGTGAGTCCACTAAGGTCCGAGGAAAGAGGTGCCAGAGCGGCAGCCAGAGCAGAGGGCCTGACGTGGGATTGAGCTTTCAGGATCCGTCAGAAAGTCAAGATCCTTGCTTTCTTGCTTTCTCTCTCTTCTCTCTCAACAAATTAAAATAAATGAATGAATAAATAAAATTAAATAAATAATTTTTTTTTTTAAAGAAAAAGGGACCAGCAGGTGGCGTGGTGGTTAAGGCGCTCGCTCACGTGGCCGACCAGGGTTCAGGTCTCTGGCCTGGTGGCTTGCTTTCTCGCTTTCTCTCTCTTCTCTCTCGTCAAATGAAAATGAATGAATAAGTAAAATTAAATAAAGAAGAAAGAAAGTCAGGATCACTAGAACCGGGTGAGCAAGGGCCACGTCGGACATGGGGCAGAAGACTGGGTCACATAGGGCCTGGAAGGCCTCGATGAAGAACTCGCATTTTATTCCTTACACGATGGAAAGCCACTGGAAGATTCTAAGAGTGATGTGAACGGACTCAGGATTTTAAAAAAGAAAATGCCATGCTGAAAGATGGGGGTGGGGGGGCACAGAAAGAATCAGAACAAAGCTGCTTTTCAGTAGTCGAGGGGAGAGCTGCCGGTAAGCTGGACTGGGGGCAACAGCACGTATCCGAAAGGCTGAGCCGGCAGGAGCTGCTAGCGGACAGGGCCTGGTGAGAGAGCGCCATTCACGGTAACGGGGGGACTGTGCCACCAGGTGACTAATGACACGTTTACCTAAACTAGACAGGCGAACCCCTGGCCTCACGGTCAAGGGAACTGGATCCTCCATGGCCACGCAGTTCCACCCCAGCCCTGGCTGCCTGAAAAACACTGGGACACCCAAAATCCCAACAGGACAGAGATGGAGGGGAGGGACTGCCATGTGACCATGTCCCACTGAGGGGATGCTTTCTCTCCGCGGCGGGCACAATTACAAACGGAGAAAGGGCCAGCAGAAGGTGTAGTGACTGTGTCACTGAACTCCCCCGTGGCCGGTCACGGTCTGCATTCCAGACCCTGTGGCTGGAAAGTTGGGCTAGGTGCGTGCACATGCATGCCCACGATTCCGGGAAGAGAATGTAGAAGGAGCTGCAGCATGGCCATCCCCCCCGGGGGGTGATTTCTCACTTTCTCTCATTGTCTCTGTCTCTCTCCTCTCTGGTGAGCACATGCACCCTAAGGCAAAAACCTCTTTTAAAAAAAAAAAAAAGAGAGAGAAACTGGAGGAAGAACAGATGTGGGGGGAAGAGCATGTCGACTCTGAGGTGCTTTGTTTGACATCCATGTGGAGACCTCAGAACAGCTATGAGTCTGTAGCTCCAAGAAGGGTCACAAATCTGCGAGTCACGACAGAAGGACAGCTGTGTGGTGGTGTGTAAAGCCCTAAGCCTGCAGAGGATCAGCTTGGGAGTGGGCTGGGTGGGCCCTGGGTCACCCACGGACGCGTGGGGACGAAAGGAAGATGCCTGTTGGCGGGAGAAAAGCCAGGAGAGGAAGGAGTGGCAGCTGACGAGGTAACACTGCTGAGTGGTGAGAGGAGCGGACTAGGAGCTGGTCACTGGGACAAGCCAGCGTCAGCGCAGTAAGAGGGGACACAGGCTGCCCACGTGGGTCTGTGAACGGCCACGAAAGCAGAGCCAGGGGTCAGGCAGCTCTTTCAAGGATTCTTCCCTCAAGGGCACAGAACCAGAGCAACAGCTGGAAAGATGAGGGTCAGAGGTCTCTGCCTGAGATGGGGAGGGACGTGTGGAGGTGTCAGCCTCTCTGGGGGAGAAGGGGACCAGGGCACAGGTGGAATGAATGGCCCATGTGTCGTCAGATGGTGTGGGGAGCATGGGGCTCTTTCCCCACTGCCCTGAACTCTAAGGCAGGAAGCATAGCGTTTCTGAGGGGGCGCGGGGGCCACCGGAGGAAAATGCTGTCGGGAGGGAAACTGGCCAGGGAGATGTGCCGAGATGGCTGGAAGTACAACAGCCCTCAAGATTTCCGGATGAGAATTCCAAGCCAGGACCAACACAGGAGCGGGTGGCGGCTCACCTGTGTCTGCAGGACTGCTGGTCACCTGGCACTCCTGCTGCCAATCCTTGGGCACGACGGGCTCTGTGAGGCGAAGGAAGTCCTGCAGCGGGCAGCGGTGAGGGCAGCCAGGCAGGGTCAGAGGCCAGGGGTCCTTCTCACTCTCATTCCGAAAGTACATCTCCACCGAGAAGTTTCTGGGGTGACAGAGGCGGGCTGGGAGCTGCTCGCCAGGCTGCGACGAGGCCCTGCTCTCAGCCCCCACCAAGTGCCCCTCTGAGGACAGATGGCAGCTCCACTCACCCGTTATCTTCCTGGTACAGCTCAAATATGTGGCAGGAGGCGTAGGGGGCTTGTTTCCCGTTGTAGACGTTCAGGGCCATCTGCAGCGCGACCAGAGTTGTGTCATGCTGTAAGGGAGGGGCCCCCTATCAGTACGGCTCCCTGTACCCCCAGGAACTGGACAGATGTCGGCACGCTGGGGAGGCCTGGAGCTTACCGCAGAGTACACCAGCAGCTTCGGGAGTTGGGAGGTGGTTGCCATGAGGGTCAAGTTCTTCCGTATCTGAGCCAGCAGGACTCCTGAAGGAGCAGAGTCCCCACCATCAGCAGCCACGGCCACCACTGTCTTCCCGTCAGTCCTATCACGGCTCCTCACCCCCTGCTAGTCCTGGTCGCCAACACTCACACCTCCTTAGGTTCCTGGGGGACCAGGCAGGAGCTCTATAGCACCCCCAGCTCTCTAGGAACCTTCAAACTCACAAAGGACGCGAGATGAAACAAGCTATCTGTATTTCAGCACAGAGGTAGAAACCGTTCATTTATATTGGGTTGTCGGACAAGTTATGACGCATTTTATGGGGAAAAAAAAACACATTGGGACTTTGCTGATGACCCAATGAGTGTGTGACAAGTCCCTGCCAATGTTTGAAGAGTTAGTCCAGTTGGGAACAAATGTCAACTCAGACTGCTTCCAAACACACAGGATGGTGGCTCCATGCCAGAGCAGCTGCCATATGCGGGCTCTGAAAACCACCACGATGACAAAAGGTGTGACAGCGAGTGTGCCCTGGCGCTGGCTCCAGGAAACCGGCATGAATCCTGTCCTCAGCCTTCTCTTACAGTGGCTCCCAGTGGCCCCGCGGAGGTGGTGTTGAGTCGGAGTGGGGGTGGGGAGATGACTCCGAATGGCAGAAAGGAGGCCTACAGACCGGACCATGGTCACACAGTGACACAGGCTAGGCATAAGAACTGGGGAGGGAGGCGTGGGTGACAAGTGAGATGATGAGAGAGGGTCTTTCTGGAAAAGCAGAGGACGTTTCAGTCCAGGAAGAAGTGTGTGACAAAGCCCCAAGGGCAGAGTTTAAATGCCACAGGGTCCTGAGGAGGGGAGTGACATGCTGCTCTTGTCACTCACCCCCCTGAAGCCGGGCCTTCTCCGCCTGCTCATGGATCCCGAAGAGGAAGCGGAAGCTGAAGTCCTTTAGCTGGCTCAGACGCTGCATGGTCTGGGGCGAGGCCCAGGGAGGCAGGAGCAGCCCGTGTGTCTGCTGTGTACCACAGCAGGCAGGTTAGCTCCCAGGCCTGGGCCAGAGCCGCTCCCGGGGTACCCGTGGGGAGGTGCGTGTGTGCAAGGGAGGGAGAGGAGAGTGCGGTGAGGCGGAAGGGCTGGGCCCCTAGAGAGGGAAGACAGGGCCCAGCAAAGGAAGCTCAGATGCGAACAGTGAGGCTCAGCAGAAAGGAGTCTGCTCCCATGAGAGCTCTGGGTGGAGGAGAGGAGGAACTGCTGACGCTGAATAAACCGTTTCCCACTCCAAGGCTGGGTTTCACCCGGGAGGGGAGTTCCTGCATTTCACAAGCAGCCATGTGCCTGGACCTCCCTGGTGGCCATGATGGCAACCAAGCTGTGTTGTACCGTCCTGGTGACCAGGGCCTGCTCTGGCAGGGGCAGGGGGGAGCACGCGGGCACCCGGGCAGGCTCACCTCACAGAAGAGGGTATCATAGACATTCCAGACTGTCTCCAGGGTCAGGTCTGGAAGTCCTGTCTCGTTGGCCACCATGTCCAGAAAGTGCTATGAGGAATGGACCAGATCAGCACCGCCCTGGGAGGAGGGTGGCCTGGCGACCTCGACCTCGGCGCCACTCACCGCATTGCGAATACTCTCGCTCTCATACTCCGGGGTCCTCCGCGTCTCGTTCTGCAGCTGCTCGTAACGGGGACATGGGCCCAGTGGGAACTTCAGCAGCTGCAGAGGAGGGAGTTGGGATGGCCAGGCCCGTGACCAGAGCCATCACCCTCACCACCTGCAGAGCAGGGCTGGCCAGTCTTACCCTGTCCTCGGCGATGGGCACGGTGTGGACAGGGATGGGCTGCCACGAGATGTTGGGATTGAAGCGCTGCATCCCATCGGGAGGGAAGAGGCCAGCCAGGTTGGCCTCGGCACTCATGAGAGTTCGGTCAAAGTCTGTGCTACGCACGTAAACCTGCGAGGATGTCACCTGTGGGTGGGGAGCGCTTCGGCCCCTCAGGGGGGCCCCCTGGGGCGCCTGTTCCAGATGCTGGCCCAGCACATTACAACCTCACCATGCACCAGGCCTCCCCCATGGCCTTCAGCCCAGCTGGGCTCCTCAGCACTCTGCAGAACCCCGGAGGGAATGGCTCAGGGGCTGCCTCTAGTTCAAATGCCCCTTCTTCCAGGTCAACAGCGCTTGGTAAGGCTCTGCGGTTGTCTGGTGTTTTAACACCTATCTCCCTGTCTACACCTGGGTCCTTGAGGGCAGAACCGTCTCCAGTCACTCCCCAGCTGCCCTCTATAAACTGGCTGAGAGACCGAGAAGGAAAAATCAGATAAAGAACAGAGATAGTGGCACCAGCAGATGGCGTAATGGTTACGTCACTGGACTCCCACGTAGCCGACTGCAGTTCGATTCCCAGACCCAGAGGCTTAAAACTCACGCCCGGCACATGTAAGTTTGTGCCCAAAATTCCAAGAGGAGAATGGAGGAGAAGGGATTGTGGTGTGGCCATCCCCTTTGGGGAGTGACTTCTTACTTTCTATCTCTGTCTCTCTGGGCAAGTGCATGTGCCCTAAAGCAAAGATCGGCGTGTCCCAAAAGGAAAAAACCCTCTCCCAAAAAAAAAAAAAAAAGAACAGAGACAGTAGCTTGTGAAGAGTGAGGAGGGGACTGGAAACTGGGAAGGGCACACTCAGGATAGAGCTGGGCCTCAAAGCAACAATAACATCTAGAGATTCATGACACAGCTGTGAGAGTGGAACCCAGAGGAACAGCTGCCTGCATCCCTAGGGTGGGGAGAAGTCCCCGAGGAGCCAGCACACCTGCCCATCCTCCCTGACACGCCCTAACCACACGTGTCTTCCTGCTGCCCTCAGTCTCAGTCCTGCCTATTATCATCTAATACCATCCTACATTCTTTTCTTAAGAAAAATTATTTAATTCCATTTGTTATTATTTTTTATTTTGACCAGAGAGAGAGAGAGAAAGGGGACCTGAGAAAGCAAACTGCCAGGTCTGGGACTCGAACTGCAGTAGGTCACATGGGAATCCAGCACCTCGAACCACCACACCACCTGCTGGCTTCCCCCACTATATTCTAAGTTCCATGGAGAAAGAGATCATATCTATTTGGTGGACCATTACATGTAAAAGAGCTCTAATAATACAGCGCTTGGCCCTTATTAGGTGCCAAATAAATGTCCTGGATAGAAAGACAATCTATAGGGACCAGCAGATGGCATAATGGTTATGTCACCAGACTCCCACGTAACTGACCATGGTTTGAGTCCCAGATCCAGTGGCTTAAACTCATGCCAGGCACATGTGCATTCATGCCTAAAATCCCAAGAGCAGAATGGAGGAGAAGGGACTGCGGCATGTCCATGTCCCCGCCTCCCACCACACCACCCCCCACCCCATGATTTCTCGCTTTCTGTCTCTCTGGGCAAGTTCACACGCCCTATAGCAAAAATCTCTTTCTCTCAAAAAAAAAAAAAAAGAGACAATCTATATTTCAGATTCAGAATCACTCTGGCAGGCTCTTCCTTAGATGCTTGAACAGTTTTGCCTCTTCACAGCCGAGCATGGGTGACTCAGCCTCTAGGTCTATGTTAGATGTCTGTCCTGTAGCTGTAACCAGCTATGCAGGAGGGAGGCCCAAGTGCCCAGCCTCACCCTCAGGCTCCCTGAGGGCAGGAGTGATTCTCCTCGCCTCCTGAGTGCCCCGCCTTACCTCTTGCCAATGGTAAGAGGTGTTTAGAAAACCATGGTAGCGCCGCCGCAGAGCCTGGCCCAGCTCCCAGTGCTGCAGCATCCCCTCCTGTGGGCAAACCCAAAGGTTAAGAGGGTCTAGAGAGAAGCAAACCGAGTCCCATGCGTTCAGGCAACTGTTGCTTTCTAAATCTACTCCTGGCTGGAAGCAGCAGTGGGGTAATCTAATCTCACAAGTCATTTATTAAGTGGGCACTTGTGCACCACGCTGTCTGAGGCACAAAAAAGTAAGGTTAAGAAATCGGACCAAAGTCTGCACCCGCGTGGAAAATGGCAGCTTAGGAGGCCTCAAGGTCTAGCCTGCTCTAGAGGTCACTCATTCTCTAGCTCACCCTAAGGGCAGGCTGGCTTTTGACTTACCTTGGTTAGTTGACCAAACCCCTGGGGCCAGTCCTCTTCCTGATAAGGGTCCTTGGGGTACGTCTTCACTGGTGAACGGTCTCCATGTCGGTATAGCTGAAGAAAGGTATGTTGGGACCAGCAGTTAGCATAATGGCTATGTTGCTGGACTCCCATGTGGTCGACCCCGGATCAAGTACCGGACCCAGTGGCTTAAACTCACGCCAGGCGCGTGCACGTGTGTGCCCAAGATCCCAAGAGGAGAATGGAGGAGAAGGGATTGCGGAGTGGCCATTCCCCCTGGGGGGTGATTTCTCGCTTTCTGTCTCTTTATCTCTCTGTCTTTCTGGCAAGTGCATGTACCCTAAAGCAAAAACCTCTCCAAAAAAAAAAAAAAAAAGGAAGGAAGAAAGAAAGGAAGGAAAGAAAGAAAAGAGAAAGAAGATAGAATAAGTTTTGTCCATTGGCCAGAGGGGTATCCTAGGCTGGGGCATAGGACTAACCTTTGCCCCATGTTGGGGAAGGAAGCCTCACTCCCTCTGGATCCCCACTGCAAGGGACCCCAGTTCAAGGGTCAGTAACTTCTTCCAGGTTCTAGAGATTCTCTTTATCTCTCTGTCTTTCTGGCAAGGGCATGTACCCTAAAGCAAAAACCTCTCCAAAAAAAAAAAAAAAAAGGAAGGAAGAAAGAAAGGAAGGAAAGAAGGAAGAGAGAAAGAAGATAGAATAAGTTTTGTCCATTGGCCAGAGGGGTATCCTAGGCTGGGGCATAGGACTAACCTTTGCCCCATGTTGGGGAAGGAAGCCTCACTCCCTCTGGATCCCCACTGCAAGGGACCCCAGTTCAAGGGTCAGTAACTTCTTCCAGGTTCTAGAGATTCTAATTTGGCTAGGCAAGGCCACTGGAAAGGCAAAGCCAAAGGTATAGGTGGGAAGGGAAAGGAGAAAATGAAAGTAATGTACATGGGGGGAAACTGGAAAAAAAGATCACCACTGTTTTTTTTGGGTAAAGGTCTCAGCCACTCAACCACACCCCCGTCCCCAGCCCAAATGGCTCTAACTTCACACAGAACTCTAACCACCCTAATTCGTACTCCGACCCACCCCCAAAACCCCTAAGGTCCACATCAATTCTGAACGTACCCTCCAACTCCCCAGTCCAGCTGTCTCCCCCCAAACCAACTCCCCCTCCTCCTGACACCCCCGACCCGCAGCACGAGCTGCGCCCTGCCCTCCGAGCTGCGCCCTGCGGCGGTTGCACTGGGCTTTGCCCTTTCGGCTGCCGCGAACTCTTTGGTGACCCCTTCTCTCATTACCAAGGTAACAAAGCGCAGACTGTGGGCCTCGGTAGGTGGCATCACCATCAGGTTCACGCCGAGCAGGAGCTGGAGAAGAGCTGCTCGGCTCCAGGCAGACTGTCTGCCCGCCCTCCCCCGCTGAAGTCTATGCACCAGAGAGGCTGGAACCCCTTCGGTGGCACCTGCAGCAGCAGCCCGGACGCACCCGTAAGGACACACGCCGGAAGCGCGATCGCCGCCATCTTGCTAAAGGAGAAGTAGCGAAGGAAGAAGGCGCAATCTGGGAGGGAATGCGTTTCGGAATTCCGCAATCTGGCCGTGGTGGAGGAGCGTGGGAATGTAGTGCGCGACCTAGAGCTGCAAAAAGGGCTTAAAGACCTCTTTTTGGTAAAGACAGAGTTGAGCTCGTGTTTACCTCTGCTCTAGGAGACCCTGTACCAACGCGGCGGTTGCACTGGGCGGGGCCGTGGGCGGGGCCGGGGCCGTGGCCGTGGCGGGGAGACTGAGCGCCCTTTGGGCTGGAGTACTGCCTTGCCTGACCCCGGAGCAACAGCAGGCGCAGAATTAAGGCGAGGGTTGGAAAAGTATGAGGCGCCGCTCTCCACTTCCTGGCCTTGGGGTGGAATTTGAGCCCTGGACCTGCTGTCCGTGAGAGGTCTTGTTTGGGTTGCAGGGCAGAGTGTAAACAACCCTTTGGACTCTGTGCCCTTGAGGAAGGTTCCCTTCTTGCCTACTACTCATGCCCCAAGCAACGTTTCAGTAGCCCTCTGACTTCCCTTTCCAGTTATTTTCCTGTCCTCATCCACGTGCAAATTTTAGTTGGAGTCAAGACGTCAATACTTTTTCCCAAAGGAGTCGGATTGCACGGGATGTTGACTTTTCCAAACCCATAACATTGAATCCCTAGAGTAGGACTTTTAGACTAGAGGAAAGATATTTTGGGTAAGGGGCAGATGTACACAATTAAGTGGAGTTTCTGCAGAATCAGGCCACATTGGAAGTGGCTGTTAAGACTGAGGTGCAGTCAAATAGGCCTCAGGATTTTATTAACTTGGAGTGACATGTGGTTCCAAAAAGTCAGATCAGAGTCCTTGGATGCTTTGATTAACATCTACCCATTAGAGGGGACCAGCAGTTGGCACAATGGCTATGTTACTGGACTCCCATGTAGTTGACCGCGGTTTGAGTCCTGGACCTGGTGGCTTAAACTCAGTCGGGTGCATGTGCTTGCGTGCCCGAGATCCTGAGAGGAGAATGGAGAAGGAATTGTAGCATGGCCATCCTCCCCTCCCCCCAGGGGTGACTTCTCACTTTCTGTCTTTCTCTGTCTTTCTGGGGAGCGCACATGCCCTATAGCAAAAACCTCTCCAAAACAAACAAAAATATCTACCCATTAGAAATAAATGGACCTCAGATTATCAAGAAACAAAACTGGTCTGAACTATCTGTCCTCTTGGCCTAAGACTCGAGATTCAGTTGTCCCTCTTACCTGCTTGGGGGTGGGTTCTAGGATTCCTACAAATACCAAATTTATGGATGCTCTAGACTCTTATGTAAAAGGGCAAAGCATTTGCATGTAACCTATTTGCATCCTCCAGCATACCTTAAAGCATCTTTAGATTACTCTAATGATTACATCATTTAATGCCTAATATGATGTAAATACTGTATAAACTGTTGTTATACCATATTGTCTTTTTAAAATTATTTAAATTTATTTATTCATTTTAATTTGATCAGAGAGGGACAGAGAAAGTGAGAAACCAAGCCATCCCGTTGAGACTTGAACCATGGTCAACCATGTGGGTGTCCAGCGTCCCCAACCACCATGCCAACCTCCTGGCCCCCACATTGTTTTTGTTTTTTTCTAATAACTATTTATTAATTTTATTTGTTGTTATTTTTTAATTTGACTAGAGAGAGAAAGGGAAAGTGTGTGGGAGTCCAGTGCCTTATCCACCACACCATCTGCCAACCCCATGATATCATATTGTTTAGAGAATAATGACAAAGGATGTCTTCCTGTTGGGGGGTAGGCCAGCAGGTGGTGTAGTGTTGGGATGCTAGACTTGCACATGGCCAACCGTGGTTCAAGTCCTGGACTTGGCAGCAGCTTGGTTTCTTACTTTCCTTCTCTCTCTTTCACTCTGTCCCTCTCTGGTCAAATTAAAATAAATAAATAAAGTTGGGGGGGAAAAAAGTCTTCCTGTTGAGTGCAGAAGCAACCATGGGAGTCTTGAGTATTTTAGTACCTATCAGGAACAGTGTAACATTTTGCATGGGGGATTCATAGGGTCCACTGTATAACTCAGGATCTAACTTTGCTTCTGGCATTGTCATGGAGGAAGCTGAGGAGTGAATACAACATCTGAGAGCTGGGTAGAAACATGGTTCTTAACGTTATTTAGTCACAGCCCCCTTATGAATCAGTTGAAAATTTAGTCCCCCTTTCTCCAGAGAAATGTCCACACATGCAGACACAAACGGAATTTTGTGTAGAATCCCAAAAGGTTCACAAAGACCATCCCTAAATTTCATCAATCAGCATCTCCAAATCCCTAATTTAAAGAGTGAGTCCATTTACGTCACAGAGTAGAAAACACACCCAGGGAGCAGAAGTGATTTGCACCAGTTCACACATTTAGGAAACTGGATTAAAACAAGTTTTCTGGTTCCTAGTTACAAGGTCTACAATAGCCTGTTTTGGGGCCAGCAAGTGGCGTGGTGGTTAAGGGCACTGGACTCTCATATAGCCAATCACACGTGCCCTATAGCAAAAACCTCTCCCCCCACCAAAAAAAAAGATTTTTTTTGAGAGATTTTTGCTATAGGGTGCATGTGCTTGCCAGAAAGACAGAGAAATAAAAAGACAAAAAGTGAGAAATCACCCTCCCAGGGGGGATGGCCATGCAGCAATCCCTTCTCCATTCTCCTCTCAGGATCTTGGGCATGCACACACCTGTGTCTGGTGTGAGTTTAAAGCACCAGGTCCAGGACTCGAACTGCGATTGTCTACATGGGAGTCCAGTGACATAGCCATTACGCCAACTGCTAGTCCCAATAAAAGATTTCTATGAAAGGAAACTTTTACACATTGGTGGAATTGAATGGTACATGACAAATTGGCCAAACTTACATATTAATGGGCTTTTTTGTATTTTTTTTCTTTTTTAAAGAATTCTTTTATTTAGCTTTATTTATCATTATTGTTTTAATATTTCTCTAGCAAGAGAGAGAGAGAGATGGAAAATGAGAAAGCAAGCTTCCAGTTCTGAGACTCGAACCACGGTTGGCCATGTGGGAGTCCAGCACCCTTAACCACCATGCACCTGCCAGCTTTGGAGTGTTTTTTTTTTTTTTTTTTAAGAATTATTTTATTTAACTTCCTTTATTATTTTTTTTTAATTTTTTAAAGAATTATTTTATTTCTTTCTTTATTTTCACTTGAGTTTTGCCACAGAAAGGCAGAGAAAGAGAGAGAGAGAGAAAGCAAGCCACCAGGTACGAGACTCGAACTGTGGTCGCTCATGTGGGAATTCCAGCACCTTAACCACCACACCATCTGCTGGCCCAACTTCCTTTATTATTATTTTTATTTTGTAGTTTGATTAGAGAGATTCAGAGAGAGCAGGAAAGTGAGAAAGCAAGCCACCAAGTCCAAGACTCAAACCGTGGTCAGCCAGGTGGGAGTCCAGCGCCTCTAACCATTATGCCACCCACCAGCTCTTGGAGTGTTTCATTTTAATGTGCCCCTTAGTGCCCTTGCATACTAGCCAGACCATTGCGCTTTTTGACTCTACATCTTAGGCTCACTAGATTTTAGTAAGTGGGACAAAACTCTCTCAAATTTGGGGCAGCAGATGGCCTGGAGGTCGGGGCACTGAATCCTACATGGCTGGTTGCTTAGTTTGAGTCCTGGACCCAGTAGCTTGGGGATCATACTAGACACACGTGTATGCATGCCCAGGAATCTGAGAGGAAACTGTGAGAAAAGGGACTGTAGTGTGGCCCTCCCCCATGGGGGGGAGGGGGGTTCTCACTTTCCATCTCTTCCTCTCTGCTGCTAACGCTTGTGCCCTATAGCAAAACAAAATAAAACTCTCAAATTCACCTTTTGCTTCTCTCTCTCTCTCTCTCTTTTTTTTTTTTTATAAAGATTTTTTCCATAGGGCTTGTGATGAATCCGGAGTGAGAGATAGAGATAGTGAGAGGGAAAATGAAAAGTCACCCCCCCAGGAGAGATGGCCACGCTGCTGCTATCTCTTCTCCTTCTCCCCCTGGGATCCTGAGCACACATGCACATGCACCTGGTGTGATTTTCTTTTTGGTCTTTTTTTTTTTTTTTAAGAATCATTTATTTCATTTTTTTTTATTATTTTAAATTTGACCAGAGAGAGAGAGAGAGAAAGGGAAAGGGAAAAAGCAAACTGCCAGGTCTGAGACTCGAACTGTACTCAGCCATGTGGGAGTCCAGTGCCTTAACCACTACGCCCCTTGCTGACCCCTTTTGCTTCGTTTCCTACTCAGATATGTCTGTATCTGTCCTGTGTGTGTGCAAGTATCCCATGTAGGCGGCATTGACGAAGCAGATGTCAGTTTTTATAGTGAGACACGCTATCAGGAAGGGTGGGGATAATACCAAAAATAGAGGATAGGGCTGGAGCTGAGCCCTGTTTTCAGACCCCCAACTTCTGCATATTTTTAGCCGGAATATTCCTTGCTCCTCACACCTTGGTTTCTACATACAGATGCAAAAACAGACGTGTAAATGGATAGCCGGGTGGATACCGGGCCTACCACGCCAAAGCCGTCAGAGCCTCTGAAGGTGAGACCAGGTTTGGGAACAGCTGCTCTACTCCGTGTTGGCAGAAGCAAACCTAAACCTGGGCAAATGGACCTTTGTTTTTACCCCCCTCCGAGAAGGAGCTTTTGTATAATGAAATGAGGTGTTCATGTATGTGCGTTTTGTTTGAAATTGAGCTACAATTTTTTATTTTTTAAAATTATTTCATTTATTTATTTATTTATTCATTTCACATGAGTTTTGCCAGAGAAAGACAGAGAGCGAGAGAGAGCACGTGCGAGCAAACTGCCAGGCTCAGGACTTGAACCGTGGTCAGCCATGTGGGAATTCCAACGCCTTAACCACCACGCCACCTGCTGGCCCCCAGCTAGAGTTTTTGAATCAGCCATACCTGTATTCAGACTTGGTGTCTGCTCCTTGCTGGTAACTGTCTTCTAGGATTCATGATGAGGATAAATGAGCCAATACATTTAAATACATGTTACTTTTTTCTTTCCTTTCTGCCTTCTGTATCGACTCGAAACTCATAGGTCCAGGAAGCAGGAATTCCTAAATTCTTCTCTTCCTATCGGTCAGAAATGCCTTGGATACGTACCTCGTGGTCTGTAAGATGACCCCATAGCTTCTACCTGGGACCTCTCTGAGCACACTGGGGGCTTTCATGCCTATGACCCCACTGGCTGAGACAGGGTGGATCTAGCGTGAAGACCCTGTTAGGGTGCCTGCTCCCCCACACACACCACGCCCCCTCTTTCTCTCTGAGGAAATAAATAAAAGCAGGTGAAGGAGGCTTTTCTCAGCTCCCAGAGAGATCCCCAGGGGCCCAGACTAACGTGGCACCCTGCCTTCCTTGACCAGGGTCTCAGAAAGGTCTCTGATGCGCTCCTGTGCGGGAGCTTCTACAGGTGGGGCGGGAGGACAGAGTGGGTTGGTTATATGGGTCCTGGGTCAGATCTGTTCCAGTCTCCTCGTGGCCAGAGTCCCCAGTCTCTACTGTCCCAGGACAGCTGGGGACAGCTTGTGAAGACGGGGAAGGAACACGTGTGAGAGGGCTGGACAGCCTTGTGCTCATGACTCAGAGATGCTCAGACCAGGGTGGGGGCCTTGCGAGGGGGTGACCTTGTGATGAGGGGGAACAAGAGCAAATGCTGGAGGCAGAAGTTGGACATGGAGGGTGTCTGAGGGGCTTTTCTGCAAGGCAAAAATGAATACATGGCAGATTTTGCAACACTGCCCTGCCTGCCCGACTCTCAGGCCTCTGCTCCCCGGCGCAGCCTGTTCCCCCTGCCCCACCCTCAGCTTCCTCCCATCTTTCCCCAAGCTCCTTTTCTACTTCAGCGTCCCCTGGGCTCCTCTAATCCTGCTCCTTCTGACCCACCTTCAGACCCCGTGTCCATTCCTTCTCTGTTTCCTCCATTCTCCCCTTCCCGGGTGCCCTGTCATCTCTGTTTCAGTCCCTCTGGCTGCCTGCCCTGGTCCCCTGGCCTGGTATGCTTTAATGTGGGACCCGTGGGAACTGGAGTTCACAGCAAAACAGGAAGAGCCTGTGAGCAGGAAATTGGGAATGGGGCAAGGGTGAACGGCCAGCAGTAACCTCAGCGCCTCACCTCCCACATCTGGCCTGAAGCATCTGCAGGGCTCTCAGCCTCTCCGCCTACAGTCCACCAGGCCCAGCCTCTTCTATCTCAGCACGTCACTGGCCCAGCAGACCTGAGAGGGAACCCAGCCTGGTGGCCTGGACTCTGACACAGAAGCACAGGGACTGTGGCGAGGACATCTGGACTCTGATCCCAGCTGGGCCACTGACTGTGTGGTCCTGGAAAAGGCCCTCACAGGAGTCTCGCTGTTCTCTGTAAAATGAAGCTTGTTACTCCCCTCCCTCCCTATGTAGGAAGACACACCCAGAGGGCTGACAGTGAGCAGGCTCAAGGGGATGGGAAGACCCACAGCTGAAAGGATCTGAGGATGATGATAACTCTGTTTCTTGAACACCTATAACGTATCACACATTGTGCTAAGAGATAGCGTTTAATTTTTAGGGGCCACCAGGTGGCGTAGTGGTTAAGGCGCTGGACTCCCACATAGATGACCACAGTTCGAGTCCCAGACCTGGTGGCTTGAAACTCACGCCAGGTACGCGCGTGTGTGTGTGTGTGTGTGTGTGTGTGTGTGTGTATGTGCTCAAAATCTCAAGAGAATGGAGGAGAAGGGATTGCGGTGTGGCCACCCCCCTAAGGGGGTGATTTCTCTCTTTTTGTCTCCCTGTCTCTGCTGAACACATACACCCATAGCAAAAATCTCTCTCTCAAAAAAGAGTATATTGTTTAATTCTCAAGACCACCTTATGTGCCAAAAACTATGAGTGTCATCCCTATTATCAAGATAGGAAAACAAAGGTTTGGAGACCTTCTCTCACTTGCCCAATTGCACGGGTGTGGCCCAGCCTGGTGGCGTAGTGTGTACTGTATGGGGCTGCAGTGGCCCACCGAGGGTTCGAATTCGGCCAGTCAACCTGAATGGTGTTGGGCATGCATGTACCCAAGATCCTGGCAAGCTAGAGTAGAGGACTCGAGGGAAGGGACTGTGACATAACCAGGCCCTGTTGAAGTTCTCTCTCTCTCTCTCTCTCTGTATCTCTCTGTCTTCTTCACTCTCTCACTATCATGAATTAAAAAACAAGGGACCAGCAGAGTCTTGGACCCATTGGCTTAAACTCACGCTGGGTGCCTGTGTGTGCGTGCCCAAGATCCCGACAGGAGAATGGAGGAGAGGGGATTGTGGTGTGGCCGTCCCCCCTGGGGGTGATTTCTCACTTTCTTTCTCTCTGTCTTTCTGGTGAACACATGTGCCTATAGCAAAAATCTCTACAAAAAATAAATAAAATAAAAATAAATCCACACCAGTAATAAGCGGCAGGACTAGGATTAGAATTCAAAATCTGGTCCCAGAGCCCAAACACTAAACCAGCATACTCCACCGAGGGTTCGAATTCGGCCAGTCAACCTGAATGGTGTTGGGCATGCATGTACCCAAGATCCTGGCAAGCTAGAGTAGAGGACTCGAGGGAAGGGACTGTGACATAACCAGGCCCTGTTGAAGTTCTCTCTCTCTCTCTCTCTCTGTATCTCTCTGTCTTCTTCACTCTCTCACTATCATGAATTAAAAAACAAGGGACCAGCAGAGTCTTGGACCCATTGGCTTAAACTCACGCTGGGTGCCTGTGTGTGCGTGCCCAAGATCCCGACAGGAGAATGGAGGAGAGGGGATTGTGGTGTGGCCGTCCCCCCTGGGGGTGATTTCTCACTTTCTTTCTCTCTGTCTTTCTGGTGAACACATGTGCCTATAGCAAAAATCTCTACAAAAAATAAATAAAATAAAAATAAATCCACACCAGTAATAAGCGGCAGGACTAGGATTAGAATTCAAAATCTGGTCCCAGAGCCCAAACACTAAACCAGCATACTGAGTTGAAATTGGCTAGAGCTAACAAGTACGGGCTAGAGAAGGATTCTATTTTTCTTGTTATTCATTCAACAGAAACTCAGTACCTACTCTGCCGCCTCCTCTGTGCCGGGCCTCTTCCAGGGGTTCTGAGGTAGATCAGGACTACATGGTGCCCACCCTGACAGAGGGAGCCATGCCCCGAGCAGCTGCTGGAGGGAGCCTGCCACCCTTTCAGGTGGGCCTGTTCCCCAGACTTGCTCCCAGGTCCATCCTGGGCTGGCGCCTGGGTGGCATGCCATCTGTCACCCCACCCACTCCCAGGCCTGTCATCGCTCATAGAGACTTCCTACCAGCCCGTCTCTCCTGGCTCCCACCCTTGTCTGTGGCCCCTACAGAGCACCCAGAGATTCCCTGGAAGGCCCAGCACCTGCCTCGCTCTGCCCCTGGAGTTCTCCCAGCTTGGCTGGAGCCTTGGGCTAGGACAGAGCTTCTTGGCGCCTTCCCAGAGGCAGGGGAGGAGGAGGGCGGCTGGGAAAGCAGGCTGGGGCTTGGTGTTGCAATTCCCAGCCGCCTGGGACCTTTGCTCCGAGAGGTGTCTATGGAGGGGAGGGAGCGCTGACTCGGAGGTTGCCGGGACTGGGGTGCTGTAAGAGCAACTAAGAGCCACAGGGTGAGGAGGGGAAGGGGAGAGACAAGGAACTGGACCGTCTGCAAGGAAATGCCACGGTCTGGTCTCGGCTGGGGCTGGGGGGTGGCGCTGGGCTGAGGGGGTGGCCAGCTGGGGAGGAGTCAGCCTGGTGGGGAAGCTGCCCTGTGGGCGGGGGCGAGGAGGCCAGGGCTCCTGTCAGCTCTAGTCTGCTTGGCAGGAAGGAGAGGTGGCCCGACCCCCTGGCAGTCCCTCCCCTAGCCCTTCCTGCAGTACTGCTTCCCCCGGCCCAGGTCCCTCTGCGCTCAGCTCCCGCTCCCAGGCAGCTCCCGGGCTGCTGCCGAGGCCTCTGACAGGCGACTGCACTATCCTCCTCTCCAGGAAGGGGGCTCCAGAGACTGCCCAGCGGGGATTCGGTGGGTCTGCCCCTCAGCAGTGGCGTGGGGCTCTGTGTCTGTGTTGGGGTGAGCTGGGGGTGCATCCCGAGGGTCTTAGGAAGGGGCCTCTGGGGGGAAGCCAGGGATGTTGGTGATGGAAGCTCAGGACAAGGACTGGTTTCTATTTAGGTCCCAGAGCAACTCACGAGGGGTTCGTGGTGGGGAGGTCTTATGTGTGAACTGGGGAGACTCTTTGAGGCAGATTTGTGCTGGGACCCCGGAAAGTAGCAGGAGTGAGGCGCTTTAACAAGCAGCGTGTTTCACTGGTGGGTGCGTCTTGACCTCCGTCTCCTGGTCCTGCCCCAAACTTGGCTATCCGGAACTAACGCTGGACTGAGAGGGAAGGGGCCCTGACAAAACTGGGCAAATGTTCCCTGATGGCCTGAAGGGGACGCTTTGGGGAGAAAGGGTATCGGAGGGTGGAGAGCTCAGACCAGTCAGGCCAGGATCGGAGCCTTGGCTCTCCTGCTTCGTCACTGGTAGCCCATAGCCACGGCACTCCATCTCCCAGCCTCAGCTGCCCGTCTGTAAAACGGGCTCGAGGACAGTCCTGACTTGAAGGGGATATTCTGACGAAGATATCTACAGAGCCTTGGCACAGGTTAATGTATGGTGGATAACGTTAGCTGATGCTGTTAGTACCCACACAAGGCAGGATCCGAGGGAGGGAGCTGAGGCCAGAAAGAAGCCCAGTTCTGGGGGTGTAACCTGGGTCGTTCCTGCAGGACAGGGCCTTGGTAATGTCCAGGGCTTCGGGAAGAGATGTCCTTGTGGCTGGAGGCCCCTGTGCCTGATGTTTCTCCTGGTAAGCTTCCATCCAGCATCCTCCTTCCCCACGGACCAGCTCCCTCACTACCTGCATCCTGCCCTCCTCCAGAGCGCAGTCCAGAGCTGCTCTGGGTATTCTGCATCCTGCCCAGACCACCTTTGCCCTGGTGTTGGTGCCTGGCCCTTCTTGCAGGCACCAGCCCAGGTCTCCCCAGTCTGGGCTTGCTGCAGGGGAGAGTTGACGGGTCTAGTCCTTACCCAGCTCTGGGTCTGCAGCGTTGTCTGATCTCTGTAATGGATGCACGCCTGCCCCCCGAGAGGACATAGGGTAACATCTTCATTTGAGGTATCGAGGTACAAGGGACCACAAGTGACTAGTCCTAGAGCCCACACAAACCCTGGGGTCCCCTAGCCTGAGCTGGGGCTTTGCTGCACGCTAAGGGGGGAGATAAGCTGGCGGTTCCCCAGCCTGGGCGCTGGGGAAGGAACTGGGGTGGGACCTGAGTTCCCCTGTGCCTCTCTCTGTGTTCAGACTCTGCAGCGGAGCTGTGGGAGTCAAATGTGCAAGATGCAAGCAGCGTGGCCCAGGGAGGCAGCAGCCGCATCCTTAGGGAGGGAGCCAGGACACCCCAATCTGCTGGGGGCACTTTGGGAGTGGGGCTGGAGGCAGCAGAGCCCACAGCCCTGCTCCCCGGGATGGAGGCCCTTCCAGAGCCCACAGGTGAGGACCTTCTGGATTCGAAGGAAGCCCCTGGATCTGGGAGGGGTACCGTGGGGCATGTACAGTATCATGGCTAAGTCCATATAGAGTCAAAGAGACCTGAGTGATCTGAGAAGGAAGTTTTTTTTGTTTTTTTTTTTTTGAGAGGTGTTTGTTATAGGGCATGTGCACTCGCCAGAAAGAGACAGAAAAACAAAGCAAGAAATCACCCCTCAGGGGGGATGGCCATGCTGCAATCCCTTCTCCTCTATTCTCCTCTCTGGATCTTGAGCACCCACACACACATGCCTGGCATGAGTTTAAGCCACCGGATCCGGGACTTGAACCACAGTTCGCTACATGTGAACCCAGCGACATAGCCATTATGCCAACTGCTGGTCCCAGTTTTTTGGAGAGGTCTTTTTTTTTTTTTTTTTTTTTGGAGGGGTTTTTTTTTTTTTTTTTTTTTTTTTTTTGTTTTGTGTTATCCTATAAATACAACTACAATTACATCTTAGAAATGGATTGACAACCTGTTAGAATGTTCAGATGTTAAGAATAAAACTAACTCAATCCCTTCTCCTCCATTCTCCTCTCGGGATCTTGGGCACGCACGCACACGCACCAGGCGTGAGTTTAAGCCACTGGGTCCGGGACGCGAACTGCAGTCGACTACGTGGGAGTCCAGTGACATAGCCATTATGCCAACTGCTGGTCCCAGAACAACTGTTCTTATACCAGACTTTGTATAATGACAGAAATTAAAGTCATCGAGTGCCCAGGGTAGTGGCTGAGTCGGGAGGATGTTGGGCTTTTTCCTGGGGGAACACGAAGGCTTTCCCTGTGTCCAGAGCTCCGTCCACAGAAGCGGAAGAAGGGGCCAGCCCCCAAGATGCTGGGAGACGAGCTGTGCAGCGTCTGCGGGGACAAGGCCTCCGGCTTCCACTACAACGTGCTGAGCTGTGAGGGCTGCAAGGGGTTCTTCCGCCGCAGTGTCATCAAGGGGGCGCACTACATCTGCCACAGCGGCGGCCACTGCCCCATGGACACCTACATGCGTCGCAAGTGCCAGGAGTGTCGCCTTCGCAAATGCCGCCAGGCTGGCATGCGGGAGGAGTGTGAGTGTCTGGGGCTGGGTGTGGGGGCGGAGGCTGATGGAAAAGAGGGTGCCTGAGTTTCCCCTGAGGGCGCTAGAGCCTACAGGGGCTTTCTGCCCAATTTTAACCCTAAATATGGGTTAACATTTCGGGGACCCACAGGTGGTGTGGTGGGTTAAGGCACTGAACACTCTCATATGGCTGAACACAGTTCAAGTCCCTGACCTGGGGGACTTTCTCACTCCCCCTGTACTCCCCAGCTCTCTGGTCAAATTAAAAAATAATAATAAATTGAATGAATGAATGAATAAAGTTAAAAGAATTAAGAGAATTATTTTATTTAACTTTATTTATTTTAATTTGACCAGAGAGAGATAGAGCGAGAGAGAGAGAAAAGGAAAATGAGAAGGCAAGCCGCCAGGTTGGGACTTGAACTGCAGTTAGCCATGTGGGAATCCAACTTCCTTAACCACCATGCCACCTGCTGGCCCTAAATAAATAATTCTTAAAAAAAAAAATTCATCTTTGGAGACCAGTAGATGATGTAATGGTTACGTCGCTGGACTCCCATGTAATTGATCGCAATTCAATTCCCGGACCCAGCTGCTTAAAACTCATGCCGGGTATGTGTGCGTGCGTGCCCGCCCAAGATCCTGAGAGGAGAATGGAGGAGAAGGGATAGCGGTGTGGCCATGCCCCCCGAGGGGATTTCTCACTTTTTGCCTCTGACTCTCTGTTCCTGGTGAGCTCACGTGCCCTATAGCAACAATCTCTCTTTTAAAAAAATCTCATCCTTACTTTTCCTAGCACTCTGCTCTTCTGGAGCCTCTGCCCCATCCTCACTTCCTGTCTCCTCCTGTCCTCTCCCCCTCTCATCGGGCCCATCTGTAGGTGTCTTGTCAGAAGAACAGATCCGCCTGAAGAAACTGAAGCGGCAAGAAGAGGAACAGGCTCAGGCCACATCTGTGCCCCCCCGAGCTCCCTCACCTCCCCAAGTCCTACCCCAGCTCAGCCCAGAGCAACGCGGCATGATCGAGAAGCTGGTGGCCGCCCAGCAGCAGTGTAACAGGCGCTCCTTCTCTGACCGCCTTCGAGTCACGGTACCTGATGGACACGGAGAGAGGGCTGACTGGGGCACCAGTTGACTTCTTGATGTCCCACTCAAAGCAGTTTGCCTTTTCCATCCTTGCCCTCCTGGTTAGCCTTGGCCCATGGCCCCAGATCCCCAGAGCCGGGAGGCCCGCCAGCAACGCTTTGCCCACTTCACTGAATTGGCCATCGTCTCCGTGCAGGAGATAGTCGACTTTGCCAAGCAGCTACCTGGCTTCCTGCAGCTCAGCCGGGAGGACCAGATCGCCCTGCTGAAGACCTCTGCGATCGAGGTGGCTGGAAGAGGCGAGGGGTGAAGGGAGAACGGAGTGGACCGTCTATGGGAGGGACCCCCACCCCGCCGGGAAAGTGGATGCGCTGGGAGTGAGGATGGGGAGGACTGACCTTCCCTTGAAGAGGCCGTGCACCAAGCCCAGCCCCGGTCCCTGTGTGAAGTCTGCTACTTGTGTCCAGGTGATGCTTCTGGAGACTTCTCGGAGGTACAACCCTGGGAGCGAAAGCATCACCTTCCTCAAGGATTTCAGTTATAACCGGGAAGACTTTGCCAAAGCAGGTGAGCACTGAGATGACCAAGGATTGGGGTTGGACGGTGCTCTTTGTTATGGGGTGGGCCCAAGGTTTGGGTAGCTGGGAAGGGAGGAACTCACTTGTTATTCAAAGACAGGACATTGGAATGCTGAAAAGAGTCTCTCTCAACTGTTCCATGTAGACCCCATTGACATTTGTTCAGGCCAGTGGTTTTCAAACTGTGTTCCAAGGAACCCAGTGGAGCTTATGGATGTGTCATGTTGGAGGATAAACAGGGAGGCATGGGAATGTCCTTCATCCTTACTTTGGCTAAACAAGAAACTCCATTTAAGGGACCAGCAGGTGGTATGGTGGTTAGGGTGCTGGATAGTCCCACATGGCCGACCAGGGTTCAAGTCCTGGACCTGGTGGCTTGCTTTCTCACTTTCCTCTCTCTCTCTCTCTGTGTCTCTCTCTGGTTAAATTAAAGTGAATGAATGAATGAATGAATGAATGAATGAATAAATCTTTAAAAAAAAAAAAAAGAAATAAAAAAAAAGAAAGAGAGAAAAGAAGAAACCCAGAAAGCATACTGTCATATATCCATGG